AAGAAGAAGCAGCATGGAGTAGCCAGGACTTGAACAGGCTCTCCAGTATGGTATGCAAGCATCCTAAGCAGAAGCTCAATCAGCTGTGACACTATTTTTTTCTTTCCTTTTTTTTTCTTTTTGATAGCAGTTATCCTAATGAATGCAAGGTGCCACCTGATTGTAGCTTTGATTTTTATTTCTCTACTTCTACATTTGTTGCCTGTGTTTTAGTGCTATAACCATGAATGTGTTAAACCCAATGTCATGAAGGGATTTTCCATTTGTTTTTCTTCTAGGAGTTGAACAGTTTTAGGTCTTCTGTTTAATTACTTTAAAAAAAGTTTGAGCTAATTTTGTATGTAGTAGGAACTTCTTTTGCACATGAATACATGGTTTTTCTGATACCATTTGTTGAAGAGATTGTACTTCCTTTGAATATTCTTGGTGCTTTTTAAAGTAGAGTTTATTTCTGGGCTCCTAATTCTGTTTGACTCTTCACTCTATTGTGTTGGTATATTATTGTGTCACTAAACATATTTTTTAGCTCAGGAATTCAGACACAAAGTAATACCATGTGATTCTATTTATAGTAAGTTAAATTATTAAATCAGATCTGTGATGTTACAAGTTGGGCTGGGCTATAGGAATAGACAATATAAAGAGAACTTTGAGGGATAATGGTATTTCTTGATATATGTGCTAGTTATATGTGTGTGTTCACTTTGTGAAAATCCACCGAGTTATTTACAGATATAATGATTATCAGAATCATTGTGCCACTTAGCATAATCTTAGTTAAAACCTGTTGCATGGAAGTAGATTTATGACCAAAGCCTATTTCATATAATGATGTGTGCGTGTGTGTGTATGTGTGTGTGTGTTTTCCAAGTGGAAAAGACAAATACTTCAATGCAAGTTTTGCCATTTCTAACTTTAGACCCTCACATTTTGGTATGCTTTTTCTTTGCTTATATACCTGGGAGAGAAGTTAGGAATGAAGAATGAAAGAATAAACACAATGTTCCCTTTCATATTTTTGATGGATTAATGTATTATTGATTTATGTTAGGTTTAGAGATAGCCATTGACTATAATACTTTTCCCCAATTATATTATTCTGGTCATGACAACTTTGATAAGGAAGAACTGTTCTGTCTTCCCAAAGTAGTCAGTATAACTAACTGAGCAAATAAGAACCTTTCAGATATTCCTGTTGGTCCATACCCAAGGAAAAAGAAGGCATAGCCCTCCTGAGTCTGTGTGCCGTGGTTGGGCGGGCCTTGGCAATGACTTAACATGATTGTGGAAGCACAGATTTTACTTGATCATCGACACAGTCAGCATAGGTTTAGGGAAATGAAATCATTGGACTGATTACCTCATGTAATCAATGAGCTACCATGACCTTCATCCCATCGTGCCTAGTGCACTCTCCCTTATTTATTTATTAATTTATTGGATAAGATAAGAAAATGGGGAGTGAACCGTGAATGAAAGACCTCTCTTCCTACCCCTCTGTTGCTTTGCCTTTTAAATAAATGAATAAATGTTTGAAAACAAAACTAGGCTGTGTTTACACTTTTTTGCATTTTCTCTTCATCCCTCTTTTGTTTCTGTTCCCCAGTATGCCTTCCCTGGGTTACTACACAGTGCCAATCCACTTTCATCGAAGACAGCCTGAACATACTCTCTAAACTGTCAGCCTCACTGCACCATTCACCTGCTGACATCAGTTCACTTCGCCCTATGAGGATAAAGTTCTAGTGTCTCCCTCTCTCTTTTTAAAGATTTATTTATGTATGTATTTGAAAGGCATCGTTACAGAGAGAAGGAGACAAAGAGACAGCCTCCATCTGCTAGCTCAGTCCCCAAATGGCCATAATGACCAGAACTGAGCACATCTAAAGCCAGGAGCTTCCTCTGGGTATTCCATGTAGGTGCAGAGGCCCTAGGACCTGAGCCCTCCTCTGTTGCCTTCCCAGACTATAAGCAGGGAGCTGGATGGGAAATAGCTCAGTCAGGAAACAAACCAGTGCCCAAATGGGATGCTGGCTCTGTAGACAGAGGATTAGTGTGTTGAGTCACATCACCAGCCCAAGTTCTAACCTCTTAATAAAGTCTACAGAACACTTTTGGGGATAGCATTGTGGCATGGTAGGTTAACCTCCCACTGTCGATCTTGAATCCCATAAAAGACCCACTCAAGTGCCAGCTGTTCTGCTTTTAATCTAGCTCTCTGTGAATGGTCTGAGAAGAGCAGCAGAAAACAGCCCGCATGCTGGGCCCCTGCCACTCATGTGAGAGATTTGAATGAAACCCCTGACTCCTGGTATCCAACTGGCCCAGCCCAGGCAAATATAGCCAGCTGTGGAGTGAGCCAGTAGATGCAAGATATCCTTTTGTTTTGTTTCTCCCCTTCTTGTAATTCTGACTTTCAAATAACTAAATAGATCTTCAAAAACAAGCAACACAGCAAAATTCTTTGTATCAATGCATTGCTAAACGTTCTCCCTCTTTGTTGTCCAACCTCCTCCTTTTCTAGCCTTACTCATTGTTCCCCTATACACATTGCCACCTCCCAAACTCATCTTGTATTCACACTTGAAGACTCAGCTGAGATCTCTGGGAAGCGCCTGCCTTTGTGGGCAACTCTCTGTCCCACTAAGCTTGGAGCCCTTCCCATGATGTTCCAGAGTTAACAAGTATAGGCTTTCTGTGCTAACTGTGCTTAACATTTCCCACTTCCAGCATTATGTCGCTTGATACCCTGAAATTGGCCATGCTCTAAATGTTAATGTCTCAGAAATCAGCAAATGAAAAAGTGAATTTTCTTGGTAAACATTTACACCAGAATACCAATATACCCTGGTTGTTTTATAATACACTGGATATAATTTATTTCTTCATTTGTTCAATGACCATAATTACGGATTGACTACTATGTATGCATTCGGTGTTCACAATATAAACAGGGGCAAATAAGAGGGCTGTTGCCTTTATGCTCCTTACAGTTGAGGGGACATGTTAGAGACACATGTTAGTTAATTAGGAAAAAACCAGTAAAATATAAAATATTAGTTGTCATTGAGGACTAAAACACTGGGGAGTGGGGGGGGGGAGAAAGAAAAAGTATGATAGGGTATTTGACTTAGTTTAGGAGTTTTCCTGAGCTACAATCTGAAGAATCATCTTAAGTTCATGAAGGAACAAGGTGAAGGAACAGCATACCAGGCCAAAGGAGTGCCATGTGCTAAGCTCAAAGAGAATGTGATTCCCACCAGCAAGGAACTAAAACAAATGGGGTTAGAAGAGACTCAGGGAGCTTGGTCTTTTGCACATAATGTTTTTGCAGGCCCTACTAAGGAGTGATTTCTTTATCCTCAAATAGCCAGAAATTGTTGACATGTAAAAGCAGAAAAAACACAGTGTAGAGAAAAATCAGCACAAGATGACATCTTAGAAAGACACCAGTGCTAGAGTGCCCGGCTTGCAACTCTGGCCCTGCTGGTACTAGTAAGTCACTACCAATTTGCTAGGAAGCTTTCTGAGTCCTCTTTCCCTGATAGGTCCAGCGGAAGTAACGTACTACTTATTCTATGGGGGTATTTATGAAGTTCTAATGCTTTAAGCACAGGGCAATCTGTGTGGGCTGAATAGATTCAAGTTACACCTCTGCTTCTGATCCAGCTACCTGTCGATATGCACCCTGGGAAGTAATAGATGAAACAGATGAAGTAACTGCATCCCTGCCACCCATGTGGGAGTGCTGGTGGGGATCCAGTTCCAGGTTCCTGGATTCAGTGTGGTTCTGTCCAGGATTCTGTAGGCATTTAGGGAAAATGAAAATCAGCATAAAAATACTTTTCAGCTATTATTCTTACTACACTAAGAGTTGAACCACAAGAGAGAACTTTGATCAGTGCTGAAGGAATAATACAAAAACAAGCTGCAGAAGTCAAAAGGCTTTGATTCTTTAAAAACTAGCAAGTCACTTCCATCCTTAAGTCTGTTCCCCAGTGCTAATCCATGAATCTTCCACTGGTCCATGATAAACTAAATGCACAAATAACTTTTTAGAAACAAATTGGAAGCGTGATTTTACATTTGTTGCATTTCTGTATGCTTGCTTTAATGATCTCTTCAGCAATGGGGCTAGTAAAAGTTTAAAGCAGCTGTTAATAGGTCCCATGGAGATAGGTGAATGGACTGTCTTTTGTGTTTGTGATCATGTGATTTTTTTTTTAAAATGAAAAGTTTTCTCTGAGTGTATAGTGATAAGAAGTGCTCAGTGTTTCACAAACACAACTGTTGTCCACAATTAATGAGTTCACAATTAATACAGAGCAATGAAATGTACCAAAATGTCAGGCATGCAAAAATTGTGAGCACATACCTAGTGCCACAGGAGGCCAGTGAGTTGACAAACCCTATATCTATAACCACAGGAGTTACCTTTCGGTTTGTGTTTTGTTTCACAACCCAGTCCTTTCCCACTTGTGCAGCCAGTCTGAATCAGAAACCTCCACCGCAAAGCTCTGCACCTTCCCCTGTTGCCTCTGCAGGCTTGACCTGAGGCCACAGCTCCAGAGCAGTATCATGGCCCTCGGCCCTGAGCAGCAGGGTGAAGGCAGAGTGGGCGCAACGTCCACCACTCCACCTTCTCTCGCACCCCCACCACCTGTGGACTCAAATGAAGAAGCTTCCTGCTTCTCCTCCACCCCCGGGGTTGGGGGCAGGTACCCAGAGTATGACCCTCAATTTCTGTCACAACCCAGAAGGTGAGGAACTATCCTGTCAGCTTGTCTCCCTGAGGTAGCCTGAGTCCGGGCGAGACCCCCAGGTGTTCTGGAGATTGGACGCAGGCCTCAGTGCCGGCCTGTCCCACCCCGCGCCCCGTGCCCCGCGCCCCTTGTCCCCGGCCTTTCCCGTCCCGCCAGCTCCGGGGTGGGGGGCAGGGCCGCGGTCACGAGACGGCGGCCTCGCCCGGGGTGTGGCCGCCGCCGCCGCCGCCGCCACCTTAAGGCCCGGCCGCAAGCCTTGCCCCCGGCACCGACTCCTGCGTCGCGGCAGCGGGAGCCTCCAGACCAGGTGCGTACGCCGCGGGCCGGGCCGGGCCGGGCTCTGACTCCTCCTGCGGCCGCGACGGGCAGGCCGAGGCCGAGTCCGGCCCGGTGGAGGGGGCCGGGCTTCCAGACTCACTGATTCGTAGAAGCGACTGCAGGGCGGGGCTGGCAGCGGCGGGCTGCGGCCTAACTTGTGTGGTGACGCGAGCGGCGCGGGGCCTAGGCACGGGGAGAGAGTGGTTGTGGAGGAGGCTGTGGCAGACCACTTTTCTAGGCCCTCCGCTCAGCCCCAAGGCCCAGCGCCCGGAGCCGCCAGGGGCCAGGGAGCTTCCCAGCGCGCATCCCCCTCGCCCACTTCTGTCTGGAATATCCGTGGTTCCCTTGAAGCTCCCGGGTGTTTGGGGGAGCTTTCTGGAGGTTCCTTTTTAATTTTGCTGTATACTTTCTCTTCGGTGTGTGGGTGGAGGCTCCAGCGTTAGGTTTTTAAGTTGCCTGAATATCAGATTGGGACAGACTTGTGTATTAAGTAATTTAATGAATGAGAGAGAACCTGTTGGAGTAAAACTGAATGTATTAACCAATCAGTAAGTGAAACTTGGAGAGAACCGTAAGTGAATTGACAGCAGTGCCCAGGCAGTGCAAGCAATGCAGACACAGGCTTATACTCTTACTTTCTGATCGTTTGCTAAAAAGTTGAGTTAAGAAAACAAACAAACAGAAACCCACTTTGGTTAAGAGTCATTCTGATTGTGATTTCTGAAAAGGAGTTCTAGTCCGTGAGTGAAGAAGAAAATCACTGGACACAACCCTTACTGTTTCCACTTTAGGCAGATTTTGGCATCTTTGCTTGAAAGACGCTTGTTTTTTTTTCTTGCTTGTGTTTTGTACTTTCTACTTTGGACTTGTAAGGAATCACTGTCACTGTAACATTATGTAATGCCTCTGACTTGTTTGGAGAATCAGGAATTTCTCATGAATTACCGATTTTACCAAGACAGGGCCTGGCTGCTGATGTGGTGACAAAAGGTGGCTAAATATGACCCAGAGAGGAAAAGAGACACGTCTACCTGTGTGTGAATGTACAGAATAAGACCGATTTAACGCATTTGGTCATTACAGAAGTTCCAGGTTGCTTGGGCCCAGGGAATCTTTTTAGGTTTTAATTTTTTAATCTTTAAGATGAGGGAGTGTCCTGAATTTCTACTGTCACAGGCTTAGGTCTAACTTGTCAACACTGTAGCTCTTTCAGGCAATATTGCATTATTTCTACTCTGTTCGGAGAAGTGTGCCATTATTGATTGACATACCTTTGTAGTTATCACAGATCATGATATTTTGGAACTGAAAGTACCTTGAAATTTTGTGGGGTTTTTTGTTTGTTTGTTTTGATATTTATTAACTGCGAAGGCGGAGTTACACACAGAGGTAGAAGCACATAAGAACAGTAGTCTCCCAACTGCTGGTTCATCCCTGAGTGGCTGCAATGGTCAAGGCTGGGAGCTTCTTATGGGTCTCCCATATTTGTGCAGGGACCCAGGGACTTGGACCATGCTTTGCTGCTTTCCCAGCTGTGTTAGTAGAGAGCTGAATTGGAAGTGGAGCAGCCAGAACACAAACTCGCAGGCACCCTTATGTGTACCAGGTAAAGCTGTTACTGGTGGCAGCTTTACTTGGTACACTGTGGAGGTGGCCCTCAAGTTTTTATAGTACTTTAAAAAAGTATTTTTACAGATATATCACAATATTTCTTGCATGCTGTATGTAATAGAAAATCTCTAACATGTTGAATAAAATTCAATTTTACCCACTTTCAGTTATTTCAGGTCTGTTGGGAAGGGTGGGCCAAACATATTTCCTATTTCTTGATGAAAAAGGCAGACTTTTTTAGGTTCTTCTCAGAAAGCAGGTTATGGGGTCATGTGTCATTAAGGCATGAGCTATAGCAAACGATATTTCTAGGGTACTAAGCACCACGATGCACTGTTATATTTTGATCTTTTAACTTATATTGCCCTCATTTAATTATCACTAAAAGCTTAAGAGCTAGATACAATTGGAATCTCTATTTGAACTTCCCAAATAGAAACAGTGCTTGTATAATAGGAAAATCAAGATTGAAAACAGAGAGAGGCAGAATTTCTGCCAGAGACAAAGGCAATCCCTATTGGGAAAGGCTGTGTGATGCTGAAGGCTATGGTGTGTGTGTGTGTGTGTGTGTGTGTGTGTGTGTGTGTCCAGGTATATATCAATTCTGAGACATTGTGGGTGAGTTTGGAAGAGAAGGTGGGATTCTAGTAGACTCTGATATGTTGCCCTAGATGCTCTTGCTTTCTCATCTTGAACACATTCGGACATAGAAATTCAGGGAGTCCAGCATGGGTGGCAGTGAGGGTTGCCATCACTGAGTGGTACTTAACACACTCTGAACTCTGAGCACCCAACAGTGCGCTTTCTTGAAGTGGCTCTGGGTCCTGGGTAAGGCGCTCTCTCCCAGCCTCTTCTTTGAAAGGAGAACAGCTCTTGTGCTAAGTACAGTGCGCATCCCTGTAATCCAGGGAAAGAATTCAAGGTAGATTCCAGCACCCTTGCAGGACTGTCAGAGGGGCCTATAAAATAAATGGAAAATTATTTTGTTTCACTTTTTTTGTCAGGCAGATTTAGCCCTCACAGAAGGCAGAAACCAATTGTGGTTGCCTGAAAAACTGGGAGCTGATGCCAGTTTGATTTAGCTAGGGAGGTTATATCTCTGCCCTGAAGGCTGGATGGATGGAACATACCTTCCCATGGCTCACAACATTATGAAAAAAACATTAAAGCAACAATTTTTATTACTTGCCCTGATGTGAGAGCTTTAAAATATGCTTTTTTCCTCCTTACTTCCACCCTCCTCAGCCTTCCTAAACCACTTAATTTTTAAAAACGAACAACCCATTTATGAGTTTGCTCTAGTCAGATTATGAGTCCTTTCTGGTGTTGCTGGGTTTTTAATGCAGAATTTCTAGGTCTCTGGAACTTTTTCTTTAATGCTTATTTTATTCAGAAAACACTATTTGCAGTGACCATTTGTTGAGTGGAGGGTACAACCACGTGCCAGATAAAGATTGATGAGATTGGATTTTAAGTAGGTGAGTGCCCACTACAAAGAACTGTGCCACAGGAGATATAGAAATTGTAGCCTCTCGGAGAATCAAGATGGCGGAATAGGGTAAGGACACGTTTAAACGGACAGAGAAACATTTAACCAGAATGAAGCAGAGAGGACATATTTCAGGAAATATGAAAGGACAAAACAACAGCAGAGGGGTACCTGGAGACTGACAGACACAGGAAAGCAGCGGGCACAGCAGTGTGGTGTTGCAGTGAATGATATTCCAGCATGGTGATCTAAACTCCACCAGCAGCCGGAACTCCACCAGCAACCAGGTGGGAAGGGACTTTCACTGGGAGCTTGGGAGGTGAACCCAGACGAGGAACTGTCTGTCCTGCTGGTCTGTTTGATTTGAAATAGGATTTGACCAGGAGCAGAGACAGAGCAGCAGGTCCCAGGCGGGCAGTGCGAGAACAGCGAGGATTTCATAGCCCAGTCAGCCCCCTAGAGCTGAATTGGGCGCCATTTTGCCTAAGGAGGAAAGGGCAAGGGAAAGGACTGAGCATGCTCTGAGAGGGAGTGAGCTCATTTCTGACTCGGTGAACTGCAATGACATGGCATTCTACGGGTTCCATCCAGGGCAGGTCTGGGTAACCCTCGGATCTGTCAGCCAGCAGATCAAGAACTGTTGTGGTAGCAAGTTGGGCACCATTTTGCGCACTGTGGCAAAAGCTTTGGGACTGCAGGGGGCAACAGTGAATTGCGCATATGCTGAGCTCCCGAGAACTCGCTGAGGTCCCGCAGGAAAATAATACCGACTGTGGCATCGTACCAGTCAAAACAGGTCCATGTGGCACCCAGACCTAGCGTCCAACAAGTTCCGACCAGATTGGCGCCACCAACAACCTAACTAGATAGGACACCTGGTGTCTCTTTAATCCTGGAACCCTCTCCAACCAGAAGAGGGAGAAAGGTTGCAGAGACAACAGTGCAGCCTCAGCACAGTATCACAGGAAGTGGAGAGTGGTGAGCCAAGAGCTGGGCTGTGGAGACCACAGTGGATATCTGACATAAGAAGCCAGACCTGGAACTCGCTGGAGGTTGTGGCACAAGTGGCTGCAAGCGAAAAGTTGTGTACCAACTACAATAAGTAAAATCGCATTGTAGACCTGTGGGTGACACAGCTTAGAAACCTGCCCCAAGAAGAAGACTCTGCTAACCAGAAGTACAATGATCAAGAGCAAAAGAAGAGACAAAGGCACAAAGAATATTACTGAAAACTCCCCTACAAAGGAGCAAAACCCTATGCCAACCTCAGAGTTAACTGAGGAAGACATTGAGAAAATGGGGGACACAGAATCCATAAGACTCATTTTAAAGATTCTGGTCAAAAATGAGAAGTTAATGCAAGAGTTCAAAGAATTTAAGGAAGCAGTAAAGGAAATCAAGGCTGGTATATCCGACATTAGAACACAGTAGAGCAAATTAAAGTACAGTGGAGAGTCTCCAAAATAGGATGAAGCAAGCAGAAGAAAAAAATCTCAGAATTGGCAGATATCTCCTGTCACCAGGGGGAAGCAAACAAAAAGCTGGAAGCAGAGCTGGATCAGGCCAAAAAAAGTATTCAAGAATTGAAAGACACTATTAAGAGGCCAAATATAAGAGTTATGGGAGTCCCGGAAGGTGCAGAAAGAGAAGCTGAGTTTGCAAATGTATTTAAGGAAATAATCAAGGAAAACTTCCCCAGTCTGGAGAAAGAATTGGGAAACAAGATCCAGGAGGGACACAGAACTCCCAACAGGTTTGATCAAAAGCGATCTTCACCAAGACATATGATTATCAAGCTCTCTTCAATTGAACATAAGGAAAAGATCCTTAAATGTGCACGTGAAAAACATCAATTGACATATAAAGGAAGGCCAATTAAGCTCACAGGA